CCTGACCCCCCACTCCTCCCCAATCTCCCCTCCCCACTCTCTCCATGCCTGACCCCCCACTCCTCCCTCCACGCCTCCTGCTTGTCGCCCCGCCCATTCCTACCCCCCCCACGACGTTCTCAGAACGTTCCAGGCAGCCCCAGGGAGGGAGATGCACAGGCCGGGCCATACCATTCCTACGGGGGGGAACGCCTTCAAGACCCTCCCAATAGCTCAAGGTTTAACGCACACACACCCCGCCCTCGTGCAGAGCTTGGCTGGAAAGCCACCCCCCCTCTTCCCGCCAGGTACCTAGCGCCTTCAACGCTGCAAACATCACCCCCACACACACACTTTGTCTGCCCCCCCCGTTTCGCATAATGGTGCCTTCCAATGACAAGGGTAAGACAGGGCAGGCGGGCCCTACCATTCTGGAAACGGGGAAGGGGGTGTGTGCTTGAAAAAAAGGTTCAAATCCTTTCGAAATGGGGGGGGGGACAGTACGTCCCTTAATGGACTACATACAGGCAACAAGCGGGGAGGGGCACTGCTCAGGACGGGGAGAACAAGCCCCCCCAAAAAATATAGAGCTCCCTCCATTAAGACACAACGGGCTGGTCTAGGATGAACCAAGACTGGAACGGGGGTGGGGAGGGGGTGGAAGCCAAAGTCCCTCCTGGCTGAGACACGCCCCCTCCCCTCTCGGGAGAAACCAAAATAGCCTCAGAGAGAGAGGCTGGCGCTGAATGGTTTAACTGTTTCTGCTGTCCTCCCCCATGCACTCCCCAATGCTCCAGCCCGGGTCCCATACACCGGGTCCCTGTGCACCCCCCACACTGCTCCAGCCCGGGCCCCTGTGCACCCCCCCCCACTGCTCCAGCCCGGGCCCCTGTGCACCCCCCCCCAATGCTCCAGCCAGGGCCCCATGCATTCCCCCCCCCCAATGCTCCAGCCCGGGCCCCTGTGCACCCCCCCCACACTGCTCCAACCCGGGTCCCTGTGCACCCCCTCCCCACTGCTCCAGCCAGGGCCCCATGCATTCCCCCCACCCCCCCACTGCTCCAGCCAGGGCCCCATGCATTCCCCCCACCCCCCCAATGCTCCAGCCAGGGCCCCATACATTCCCCCCCCACTGCTCCAGCCAAGGCCCCCGTGCACCCCCCCCCCCACTGCTCCAGCCAGGGCCTCATGCACCCCCCAAGGTTCCAGCCAGGGCCTCATGCACTCCCCAAGGTTCCAGCCACGGCCTCATGCACTCCCCAATGCCCAGACAGACCCCCCCCCATGTAATCCCCCCAGTGCACTGCCCTGTCCAGGCCCCGTCCTGCATCCCCTCAAAATGTAGACTCCCCCACCCCCCAGTTTGCCGGGGACGCACACACCCCACCCTTCATCAGACCAAGATTCTGCGCCCCCATTTGAGACTCTCCCCCCCAAAACAGCATCCTTCCCCCTCCCCACGGATTCCATATCCCTCCCCCCCACCACACACACTCTGGGGTCCGCCTCGGGGGACCCCTCTCCATCCTCATGGGATATGGAGCTGCCCTGCCAGCCTCAGGATCCCCCCCCACCCAAAACTGGGCCCTACAGAAAAACTGGACAGTGGGTTCAAATATTGTCTCATTGTTTCCTTGTCTCCCCACCCCCGGATTATCTGTCTCGGCTCTTGTCTGACAGTTAGACCCGGGGCGGGGGTGAGGGGGGTGAGGCAAGGAGCATCTCTGTGTTCTGGATTCGTACAGCGCCTGGCGCGGTCAGGGCCCGGTCCGAGACTGGGCCGAATGCAGGCCCTGTCGCAATACAAAGAAGGAGGAAGAATTAATCACTGGCCCAACGCCGGTCACCCTCCAGGATGGCGGGGGTGGAGTGGCGGGAGATTCCCTCCCCTTTCCTGTCTCCCCCACCCCGATCTCAATGTTTGGGGGGGGGTGAACCCTGCGCATCTCAGCGTTCCAGTGGTCAGGACCCCCGCGGATCAGAACGTTGCGTCGGAACCCTGTGGAGTCTGAAGTTCCACAGATCAGTTCCCCCTTACCCCCTCAGATCTCAACATTCCATGGCCAGAACCCCCCCTCCCCGATGTGCCATGGTCTGAGTCTATCCCGTCCGTGGATCTCGATGTTCAATAGATCAGAACCCTCAGCAGATCTCGACGTTCCAGGGACTGGAACCCCGCAGATTTCAATGTTCCAAGGACCAGAACCCCATGAATCTCAATGTTCCAGGGACTGGAACCCCGCAGATCTCAAAGTTCCAGGGACCGGAACCCCATGGACCTCAATGTTCCAGGGACCGGAACCCCACAGGTCTCGACGCTCCAGGGACTGGAACCCTGCGGAACTCGAAGTTCCAGGGACTGGAACCCCGCGGAGCTCAATGCTCCACGGATCAGAACCCTCCGCGGATCTCAACTTTTAATGGATCAGAACCCCACAGACCTCAACATTCCACAGACCAGAACCCCGTGGATCTCAACATTCCACTGATCCAACCCTCACGGAGCTCAGTGCTCCACGGATCAGAACCCTCAGTGGGGAACCTCAACGTTCTACGGGCTGGAACCCCGCGGCTCTCAACGTTCCACGGGCCGGAACCCTGCGGCTCTCAACATTCCACGGATCGGAACCCTGCGGAACTCAACGTTCCACGGGCCGGAACCCTGCGGGTCTCAACGTTCCACGGGCCGGAACCTCGCAGACCTCAACGTTCTACGGACCGGACCCCCGCGGATCTCACCGTCCCCGGGGTATTCCGCCTCCCAGCTTCTGAACCGGAGCCAGACCAGAAGTGCTTTCATGACTCAGCCCCTGATTCATACCCTCATAGCTTCATCCCGGCTCGGCTCGGCTCTCGGGCCAACTTCACGCTCCCCCACCCCCGTGCCTGACTCCAGACGGGGGGAGCGCCCGCCATTACCGCTCCCCCCCCCCCCATTGAGCCCCCTCCCAGCCCCCCTAAGTCACCTCCGCTGAAATCTCCACTCCAGTCTCTCCCGGACACTTTGCATCCACATGCACGAGTTGGGGATTTCCCGGCGGCCAGGATGCATTGCGCGGCTGTTTTGGCCACGTGACCGCAGGCCCTGTGAGACCGGAGCCGCCATCTTTAGTGTGGGCAAAAAAAAAAAGTGGCTAGGCGGTGCTGATTTCTGAGAGCCAGGACGCCTGCGTTCTCTCCCGGGCTCTGGAAAGGGAGTGGGGGACTAGTGGTTAGAGCAGGGGCGGCTGGGAGCCAGGACTCCTGGGTTCTCTCCCTGGCTCTGGGAGGGGAGTGGGGGCTAGTGGTTAGAGCAGGGGGGCTGGGAGCCAGGACTCCTGGGCTCTCCCCGGCTCTGGGAGGGGAGTGGGGGCTGGTGGGTTAGAGCGGGGGGTGGCTGGGACTCCACCACCCCAGTGGAAATTATCCAGAGGCCGGAGGTAGCTCTCAGAGCTCTGATTCCCCGGCTGGGGGGTGCCCTTGTTACGACCCCAGGTGCTCGTGGCTTATCAGGACCTGGCGGGGGGGAAGAAGGGGTTCATGCGGGACCTTTCACCCCGGCACGGTGCCCCGCTCGCTTGCCGTCTCATCCCCAGGCCCCTGGCTTGATCCAAGCTGCCGGCTTCCCAGACATGGGAATTTCCCCTAGATCCGGCTCCGCAGCTGGATCCCAGAGCTGCTAGGCCTTGGTGGGGAAGGCGTGGGCTGGGGAGCGGGGGCGGAGGGAGGGAGGAAGTGGGGGGTGTGGACAGCTGTAAATCCCTGTGCTAGCGGCGGACCGGAAGGCCACACCCAGTGCCGTTGCCCGCCGGCCCCGAGCGGCCATGGAGTGCATCGTCCGCCCGGCCCAGAGCGCCGACTGCGACCACCTCATGGGCATGATCCGTGTGAGCTGCCGCGGGGCAGGGGTGGGGGCCGGGGGGGCATCAGCCTGGGGGCCGGGGGCATCAGGACGCCGGGGTTCCCTTCTGGTGTGACCTTGGGGCCCCCTCCAGGGGAAATGTTCTGTGCCTCGGTTTCCCCAGAGGCGGTGTCACGGAGTGTGGGGGGACACAAAGCCTTGCACCCCCGGCTTCCTGCGATTCACCTTGACCCCAAACCATCCAATACA